GTCCCAAAAAGTGTTCACCGTGGAAGAGGCTAAAACCCTCAGAATCATGCCAACTTTTTCGTCCCGTTTTTAAGAACATCCGGAATAGAAGAATTGCTACAAGAGTTTGTTCCTCAAAAGTTTAATGGTTCGGAGTGGCATCAGTACATCAAGCAAGACTCAGTTGATTTTCATAGACAAAAATGTGAAAATCGATGCGAAAATTTATGAAAAAGAAATCCTCAAAGAAGATGTGCTATTCTGGAAGCGAAATCATTCCAGCTTCATCTTTCAGCAAGACTGGGCTCAGGCCCATGCAGCGAAATCCACCAATCAATTCCTCGAAACCGAGCTGTGGCCTTCTGATTGCCTAGATTTGGATCTTTTGGTCTTCGTTGTTTGGGGAAATATGGAAGAGGAACTATGGAATAGAATCGCGAAAAGTTTGGTGGCTTTGCGAAAGGAAGTGTGCAAGATCTGGGACAGTTTGGACATCGACTATCTTCGGCGCACCGTGGTTTCGGCGAAAAGACGAATCGAAGCCTGTAACAAAGCAGGAGGCGGGCACTTCGGAAACTTGTTATGATTATGTAATGTCATTGTTTGTTGTTTTAAGGAAATATATTTTTTTCAATGTTGGTATACAAATAAAATTTAGCTTGAGCGTTTTTTATGGCGCACGTAATTTTTCGCCACCCTGTAGTATATTATAAGCAATGTCCTAATCATGTTATGTGAAGCTAGGACGTTTCCATTCACGGATCACTCAAAATTCCAGAAAACCTACTCACCAGTGTGAGGATAATATTTTTCGTCCAACTTTCATATAGCTAGAATACGTCAATCCTGAAGGCCGACCCTGCGATGGCGAGTGGTTAACGCTCGAGAGAGAAGACTGTACGTCGCTGCTTAATGGAGAGTCTTGTGAATACTGTTCGGACAATTGTATAGTAACGTTAAGTAAGTCATGTTATGGTCCTTGAAGAATAGTCTACAGAAACGCTGCCCACAAACGCAGGCATTTTACACGCTATAATCCAGAATGCGATTGCAATGTACATACCTCCTATATTTCTTGCTAAGGAGTTGAACATAACACCGACACGTTGTCAAGTTCTATATTACTATTACTATATTCACATGTTTGTTCACAGCTGGTCGCTACGGCATTGAAAGAACCTATCTAGATTAGCAAAAGATGACCTATGCTTAGTTATAAACGCATTTTCAGAAACCGACAAATCGTCGATGTCAAAACGCTTATCGCAATTATAACGTGATGGATTTCTCTCAAAAACCCATTTGGAGGGTAGGCTTGGAGTGTGCCGGTGGAAGAATATGTAACAAGTACGGAGTATGTGCATCCTACGAAATGAGCTATATTCATCTTGTAACTTTTACGCTATTCATGCATTTAACTTGTTTCAGTGAGTGACTCTTGTATCCTTGAACTTGCAGTTGATTTCATCTTTACTTATATATTGCGTGGGTGTGCTATTGTTGGGAGAGTAGATCGTAACGAAGGAGCTGGTCTGCCAAAGGAAATTGGAGCACTTGCAAAAAGAAACATAGGAGAAGGATTGTTCCTACCGCGATTGGCTTGATGTCTTTCCCTCTTTTTTATCTCATTACGTTTACGCAACTACCACTATATGAATCGTTCCGACGATTGTCCTCAATATGAACTCGCATTATGTCCACATTTTATGTGCGAAACTCCCTTAGCTGAGGTGGAAACTTAGGATAATGTATTGTAGAAGAATGGCCAGAATGGCTTTAAAATGTGGGTGCGCGTAATAACGCGATATTTCATGGAAACAAAGTTTTTTTTACAGCCAATAGGATTAAGTGTCATGAAGCAAGATGGATATGTAGCAATGTTTGCTGCGGATTCGAAAACAGTTGACCGTTAGGAGGATCGTTACTTTTTCTTTCTTCACTCTCATATAGACTACAATATTAAATACCTTGGAGCTCAGAATACAGTCGAGTCCACATAACATCTCCAAACTTTTCGAAATCTGTAGGGCAGGTCGGACCGAGTTTCGCAGCTGTTGGTTAACAATTACATTGGCTGATATTATAAGGCTTCACATCGGTCAGAAGTATGAGACTTGTTCTCGCCTCTTCTTCAACCCCTGCTTTGAATACGAATATGATGCATACTGAGAATGCCTCAGCAAGCATCTTGAAACTACTAGAAGACGAAATACTACTGTTCGTGTCATCTTTCGAGGCCCTTTTTTTAAAAGCGATCTTATTTTTGACTTTTCTGAAAGAGAAGTGTACCAAGTTGCAGTGACCATTCAAAATGAGATGTATACCTCCGTTAATTAAGATTAAAAGCGCAGATCTCGAAATCTACGTTTCAAATGTGCAACTGAGTGATTACCCTGTTGTGCGACGGTGTCTGCAGGGCGAAGGGCTGGTAGGCGTGACTTTGAGGTTAGAATGCTCGTTGCGCAAGCCATTTGGCATTTTCATTGAGAAACCCTTCCTTCAATTTAAGGAGCAGTGCGAAATTTATTTCGATAAATTTTTATTGCTCTGCACCGGCCGAGCAGAGAGCTGTTTAATTTCAACACGAAGATTTTGTGGAGTCTTTGCTCAACATAGGTTTACGGATGTTGAGCGAGGGTATGGGAACGAATTTTCGATCGCACCCAATCAAGCTCGCCTCGCACCTAGGCGCGAAGTGACCTCAATCAGGTGCGAAGACTCCGCGGTAATTACGCTGCCCGCACTCGTTACTAATCGAGTTCAAACTTGTCATTTAAGGAGGTAATGACAGTTTAACAAATGGAGATTCTATTAAAAAATGATCTTCTTTCAAAGAAAAATTCCAGTATCAATCTCAACGGTTTTGAGAGTTTTATTTACACGCATAATAAATAGGTTCAGTATATTTCATTTCAAGTTCCTGGAAAATGGGTGAAACAGTTTGTTTCACTTCTTTTACTCTAGAGTTGTTTAATATTGGGACTACTCTTTATTGAATGGTCATTGAACGCCCTACGGCTCACCATGCTGGCCATTTCACAGATTTTATGGCATTTAGCAAGTCTTCAGCCTGAAATGAACACCTTAAGAAGAGGTTGTCGAGGGCTATTTAACTAATGGGGTCAGTGCTTTAACTACCACTGCTTATTTTATAAGACACTACCATGTATTCTGGAGACACTGTACTGTTTCGATGAGCTTACAGGGTGTCCTCACGCTCCAAACTATTGAGGAGTGCGTGGTCCATGTGCCCCATTACCTCCACTGTCCGAGCTTTTCACTTTTGCTCCGGAAGCCCTAGCACTACAAAGTAATTTTTCGGAAGATCTGTGTCTATACATCCTCCTCCAATGCAGCTGGATCCCGCATCACAACCTTTGCGATACACGTTTCCTGCACCAACACAGCCTTCTACAATGCAGCTGAATCCCGTAGCGCAACCTTAACACAACACAAATTCTCCCATCTTACACTAACTTTATTCACAAAATATACTGAATTCATTTATTATGCGTGTAAAGAAAACTGTCAAAGCCGTTGAAATTGATATTGGAACTTTTTCTTTGGAAGAAGAACATTTTTTAATAGAATCTCCATTTTTTGAACTGTCATTATCCTCCTTTAATGACAAGTTTTAACTCGATTAGTAGCGAGTGCGAGCAGCGCAATTGCCGCGGAGTCTTCGCACCCAACCAAGGTCACTTCGCTCCTAGATGCGAGGCAAGCTTGATTAGGTGCGATCGAAAATTAGTTCGCACACCTTGTTAAGCGATTGTTGAAACCTACGGCGAAACGGCTTCATATCATCGGCTTGATGAAAGCGCCCTGATATTGAGGTATCAAAAGGAAAAGTCATCCCAAACTTTATAGTTTCACTGAAGAACATCAATTTTACGGCGAGTGTGGGAGATGACACAACTTTCGTCGCTCTAAAGCGAAAGCAGCTCACTCTTGTGCATAAATAAAAACTTCTCGCCATCAAGACCGATTACCGCTTACCGGAAATGAGGGGAATTAGGATAGACAGTTGGCCTGCTGAGTTGTCTAGTTTTATACAATCGTTACGTTCTATGTAGTTTAAATTGACAGACCCGGAGCAAGTTGCTAAATTGGTCGGACTTCGAGGAAGTAGGGGAAAGTTGAAAGAAGATGTTTTTGAAAAAGTAAATGCGGCTTCATTCCAAGGCAAGGCATCGCGATTGAGGCTGAAAATTAATTGTAAAGGCAACTGTAGAGGGTAAGTACAGAGCAAGTCATTGGTGGATTGAAGGCTCCAAGTCGAACTATAGCGTCAAGTCCCATCGCATGACACAGTTTACCTCGTAACAAAGATTCTTTGACAATCACTAGATCAGCCTATGTGCCATTAACTGCACATCAGTAAATCCCACAGTAAAGTAAATGGTCGTGTTCCTCGAGACCTGGACATTTGTTCTACTGTACGAATGTTGAGACCTTCTGTGTTAGCCATGTTATTTTGTTGTTACTTTTGTTCATAAGTGCCACCTACAACTTTCAGGTTAAAGCTGAGGGCGGGTGAATGTTAAAATTTGAACATACATAAATATCCAAATTTGGCATGAGCAGAGCTATCCACTGGCTTCCTTTTGAACTGCCAACTCGGAAACGAAGCGACGTTTTGCGAAGAATTAGCTCGTCGCAAACTTACTGTTAAACAGGAACCATCAGCAGTACTGCAGTCCTACGATCCTACGATCTTTTGCGCCACTTTTGTATAACAAGGAGGACAACACCAGGCGTGTTCTTAATGTCGAACAACAAGCATCGACGAGTCACTCCATTATATAAGTTTCGAATGTAAATAGTGGTGAAGAACACGGCTCAAGCTGGCGATGTTTGGGTGAATGGAAGGGACGTTTGAAAAATGCTACGAGAAAACTATTCTCAACCTGCGAAATTTTGAGAAAGGGCTCTGTTCAACCTTGTCCGTCAACAACAATGGAGGCAGACGTCTTTTGTCGGCAAGCATATTACGAGCAACTGATGGCACTGATAGCGATTGGCACAGCGAATAGTGTCAGAAATATACTCCATTATCGCCTTCTTTATAACCTGGGTGGTTGTTATGTAAAAATTCGATGCTTCAGTGCCAATGGGTTTTTGAGGTGGATCATTTATCTTGCATAACGTTTTAAGAACTTCGTTGCTCTCAAAGACTTGGAAGCATTCAGAAACTTCAAGGTGTGACATACCTATCAAGCTTGATGCGGACAGAACTTTAACTAGTCGCAGCTCAGATTATGATTTCCAACTAAATAATAATTTTTCCAACATCACTCACGTCAATTTCATCACCGAACGGTCGCTGAATTCCGGAGGATACTTTTGCCACACGTATAAGCTTCAATCGTCAAAGCTCACACAATGGGATGGAAGGCAAGAGGTCATCAGCTATGTTGATGCACTCGTGGATGTTATTTATGCTTGGATTTTGGTGCCTTATTCTAAAAGTCTCTTTGATTTTCTGACACTGTACTGTCTTGCATGCCACAATCGTGCATTAGATGTCAAAGCCAATCGCAGCTTGACTTGCCCTTTTGTGCTTGTCGAGCGGTGCAACCAAGCTATCCCTTTATTTGCTAGCTGAACGTTGTTGCTGGATTACCATTTATATCAGATCAATTCAGCACAGTTATGCAGCAGTGCCTGGAAAGAGCAAATTAAGTCAAAGATGTCTTCTTTTAATACACCAAGAAACAACGTTGAATAGCGGTTGTTTAGCAACCGACTTCATCACCGGGCACGCATCATAGATTGTTGTATGCTGTATGGAAAAGTGACTGCACATAGGTCTATGGTTTACCAGCTTTGGTGCTTGACATTTGAAGCTTGCTATATAGAGTAAACTAGGCCACAGTTATGTGTTCATGTGATACAACGTTTAGCTAGCGAATGGTGGGATAGCCCGAACGCACCGTTTAGTAAGCCTAGAAGCGAAAGTCAAGCTGGTTATGACTTCAAAATTTTGTGCGCCATTTTGGCTTACGAGAACAGTACCGGTGTCAGGAAATTAAACGGCTATTAGGATAAGGCACCGAAATTCAAGCAAGAATAACAACCACGAGCAAAGCTGGTGACCTCCTGCTTTACGTTTCACTAAGATAGCTTTTATAGTAGGAACTTGTGTGATGTGTGAAGTCTATCGATGGGTCACTGTTGAATCAAGAGTTACTTGATCCATCTCCTCCAAAGTTTAGCAACCATTCTTTGTTGTTGGAATTAACGTGACTCGTTAGAATTCCTGGCCAGTTGAAAGTCGTTGTTCTCCGTTGCAACTAGTCAAAATTTGATCTGCGTCAAGTGTCATGGGTAACCCTCCAAAGTTCCTGGACGCTTTTTTCCTTTTTATTTATTTATTTATTTATTGGGCTATTGTTGAAGCGACACACAACGGTAGCTTCGGACTAGCGTCAG